TGTCCAACAACTGCTGAGCCACAGGTTGCCCACTCCTGTTTTGACACAATATTTCATGTTAAAAATATGCATACTAATGCCAATAAAGGATGGCTACCTTCTGTGTTAGCTACTATCTAATTTGTGATTACACTTGTTCCTTACCAGACTCAGATATATCATCCCAGTAAGGGGAGTCAAATTCATATTCTGCCTTAAGGATTTGTTCAAAAAGCTTGGAGTCATTTTCATCATAGAATGGAGGATACCCACAGAGTCTAAAACACAAAATAATAATGAAAAAAACATTAGGGTGCTTTAAGTCACTGGAGAGCAAACAATTGAGGAAACCCTTCTTTGGCAATTCTCATTTAGGCATCCAAAAGGAATGTCAGACCTGCAAAACTTATGACCCACTGAAACAAACAGTGCGTATCAGTCAGGCATAGTGGACACCCAGGAGCTCAACCCACCTGTTTTTCTGCCTGTTGAGGCAGAGAAGATAGGGTGCTGGGGGGGGGGGGGCAATTAGCAAGTACCAGTCACTAACCAGTCACAAGTTATGCAATCTGCTCATATGCCATAATAGATAACAGAACACTAATTTTTTGAGCAAGAGGATATGGTTGCAAACCACAGATACAGTATGACTATGGAATGCCTTGCATACATCTGCTACAGACCATACTGCTGGGATATCAAATGCCACAGTGTTCCAGATCTATGCCAGAATAGAGATCCAGTGTGGTGTAGTGGTTAAGAGCAGGGGACTGGGACTATCTGGGTTCTAGTCCCCGCTCAGCCATGGAGCCAACTGGGTGACTTTGGGCCAGTCACAGACTCTCAGCCCAACCTACCTCACAGGGTTGTTGTTGTGGGGATAAGATGGAGGAGGAGATATAAGCTGCTTTGAGCCCTTTGTAGGAAAAGGCAGGATATAAATTGAAAAATAAATAAATAGCCATGTGACCCTTGTTGCACCTATGGGATCTTTTTGGACAAGCACACATCCTTGTCGAAAGCCTGAGGTGTGCTCTAACGAGCCCAGAGAGCACTTGTGAAGTAAGGATGTTCATTTCAAAGGCAAGAGAACCTCCTGAATTCCTAAGGGATGACCACACAGTGTAGGCTCCTCTGCTGTATGTGTTTCCCCCTAGAAGTGAGTATTCTGTGCATTCAGCTTACGTGAAGGTAGAATTAAGGCATTACACTATCTCTAATGTTAAGAGCTAACCCATTTTTAAGTGACTATACCTTTAAAAAAATCTCTTTAGGCCCATACAAAAATGATACACAGTGTTCTAAGTGATAAACAGTTCCAGAATTCTAATGTACTGAAATTCTTTAGAGGGTGACAAAATACTTAATCATCTGCATATTGTCAGATGCTTAAAGTTTCTTTTGTCAAGAAATCTTGCCTTCTACAAAACCCCTAAATACCTAAGAATCAATTAAAATAGCTTCCCCAAATTTGACCTACTTTTCAGAGACAAAACAAAATGACACAATATTTCATATTATTTTTTGCCAAGAAGCCATTTAGTAAAATATGAGCTTTGATAGGATTTCTCTGGGGGTTATGAGGCTTTCACCCAGCTTCTCTACGTAGAAAGCAAAGTAGCCTTCAGCCCCTTTTCAAAAGAATTCCAGACAAATCATTAATAGGCAAGACAAGAAGACTGCTTCTCTGCATTCCATGTTTTAAAATAGTTCTATCTCTTTTGGCTCTTTTGAAATCTGTCTCCAAAGAAATGCTGATGGGTCTGTAAGATTATGGCATCTTCTGACATTAATTTCTGCTCAGCTTGTTCAAAATCTCCAAGCCCAGATTCTGGGACAGTCCCCCGGGGAAATAAGGGAATACTGAAAATGCAGATAAAGGGGGGAACGTGAGAGAAGAAGTAGAGAAAGGGAATAAGGGGTACTTCTGAACAAACAGTTCTTAGTGCTATTGATCAAAACTTGCTGGGAACTCCTGTAAAAAATTCTTTGCAACAGACAGGCCTATAGCACAATCAAAGCCTTATCTGAATGCAAGCTAGGTGCTGCAAAGACAGAAAGAAGTTCTTCCTTGGTTGTAAAGGCTGTAGGTGTGAAGGATATGAGCAAATGGGGCATTTTAGAGGCTGCAAGGATATATCTGTGGGAAGGAGCAATACTATGGCCTCCAGACAGTGTCTGAGAGGCCATAGGCTAATTTGGATACTCACATACAAGGATGGGAACAACACTGACTGGGGAACTTGGAATTGGTGCTGGAAACCAAACCCTGTCCCCTCAGTAAGTATAGAAAGGACTACACTAGCAGTTCTTCAAAGTTGAGAAAGTGACCATGTAGAGAGGGAGAAGTGTTTTGGGGTACCAGGAGGGAAGGAAACCGGAATTATGCTGATACAAGCTACAAGCTACTAGATGCATCTCTAATTTCCTCCTCTCCCCATCTGCAAAGCTCCAGGGAAAAAAATCTGTCCAGCAGGATGAAAGGATGGGGCAGTAAATATGGCCTCTGCTACAAGCCTCTTAGTCTGGGGGTTTATGGGCATTCTGATGGGGCTGAGATTTCACATCCCTTCATTTGGTGCTTCTAGATCAGGCTTTTACAGCATTATAATCCTGCCTTATTCATGGAATGCTATGGGAAGGAGGGGAGCAGTCTATATCGCTGTCTGCTCAGAACCCTTCCATGTTTTTCCATGCCTTCCTTCTTCTGTCTTATGTAAGAAATTCAATTTAGATAAAAAGGTTAGAATTACTGGAAAATCCCTTTTGAATGGGACTGCTAAGAGTATTTCATCTGGAAGCATGCTTGGTTTCTCTCAAGGAATCGTAAGAATTATGGTTTAAGGACAAGTGGAGACATTTCTGTAAGAGATCCCTAATTTCCCCTAACTCGTAAGCTATAATTTCAGGAATTTCCAGTGAAGAGGAAATGACTCATTTATTTATTTATTCAGAATGGAATGTTTCAAGTGACAACATCATACAGTGTCACTTCCCCCGCACTACCCTAATTGGATGCTGTTTGTGTGTTGTGGTGCTGGTGGAAATGCACAAATGTGACAGCATCCCATCATGGGTAAACTAAACAATGCAGGAAAAGAGGGAAAAATAAGGCTTTTCACCAATGACAGCAGGTGTGCTGAAACTGGCTTTACTGGAGCCCAAACAACCAACCTCCTCTTATGCTACCAAAAACCACTGGTTGCTACTGAGCACTGCAGTGCACTTATCCCACCAGTGACCTCTACAACTTCAGCCACGTGACTGATCCATGCCATCCCGCTGTGTCAACCCCAGCCACACCAGCCCGGCCAGTGTTTTTCAATATTTTGCTGAAAAATCTTCAGTCTTTTGACTAACCGGATAGTTAATTAACTGATTAAATTTACATGAATTTACATATCATTTTAAGTTAGGTAATTTCATTTTCTTGTGGGCCACTCCAAGGATCCTTTGTTGAAAAGCAACATAGAAATACTGCCTAACATACTTTGCACAGCAAAGCAAATTAGGAAGGAAATGTGAAATAATCCATGAGTTAATAAAAGCAACCTTCTACCATTGCAAGAAAGAAAGGCCATTTATAAATTTTCTTTTGAATTATCTGTTATATTAAAACACCAGAACCAAAATATCCTCATTTGGTTTCATTAAGATTTCATACAAAATAAGAACAATCGCTATAGGACTAGTTAAGGGCTTAGATCCAGAAAACTGTCAGAGCAGAGTGACTTTCCTGACCCCTCTCCACATGGCAGGCTCCTTAGGAGATCCTCTGGAATGGGGCAGGATGTGGTACAGAAGCTGAGGTGAGAAAAAGGACTCTGATGGAAGGTGCACACACCTCATTTTCAGCAATTCCTCCAAGCCCCAGTCCCAAACTCTGACCTCAGATCCATGTGAGGACTTTTGAGGGGGTGTTACAGCAGGGAAAGGAAGAGATAAAGCTGCCTCCCCCACCCTGTATGTTCCTCTTACCCCCAGAATGTATCTACCATGCCTACAGAAGTCAAAGAAATCTGGAACAATACCTCCAGGCAGGTTATCAAATCAGACCAAGGTCTGTTTCATCTAGCATTTTATTTTACAAATGCCTGTGGAATCTCATCTTTCATTGGGTCTGGCCACTAACATGCAGACATGTACTACAAAAGCACATGGAGTTTCTATTAATGCAGCCTTACCTAAACTAGTGCCTTCCAAAAGTGTTGGGACCACAGCTCCCATTATCTCCAGTTAGCAAAGTCAATGATCAGAAACTTTGAGAGGTGTGATCCAAAACATCTGGAGGTTATCTGACTTGGAAAGACCATGTTAAAGTGCCATTCAACAGTCACCACACTGAAATGGACAGCTTAAGGTAGTAGTCATTTCTTCCTCTTTCTGGAGGAAAATTCATAGCTTAACTATGGATTGTGTTAAGATGTAGAGATTCCTGCCAGGGAAATAATTTAAAAATGATACTCTTAAAATTGTGCTCTGCATATTTGTACATGAGATGAGTAAATAACAGAATCAGTTTTCAGTGGGAAAATCTCAGTCCATCATAGGGGACTTCCAATCACCAACATTTTCTTTTTCCTCCAGTGAAACCAGGCATTCAAGAAATGTCCAAGGTTACTGCCATCTCAGAAATAGCAGCCAGCTGTTTTGTCAGCATTCCACTGAACCAATATATTCTTGGCATGTACTAAATGTGACCCTGAACATGTAACCAAAATAAAAGATGCGACTATCCTCCTCCTGAGAAAAACAGCTGCATCTGTGAAAAAGGAACAGATTTTTTCCCCACATTTCCTGGGGAAAATACTTCAAAGAACTATTTTAATGCAAGCCCACAGGTGCCTGATGAAGCTTGTGCTCCCTCAAATGGAGGCACAAATATTAGAGCAATTGAGAAAAAATACAGAACAGAACTTGAGATAACATTACTGTGAAGCAGGAAATCCCACATTTATGTATTTATTAATTTAAAATAATGCTCAAGGAAGCAGATAGGCATAAACATGGAGCTAGGTCTTAATTCATATCTGAAGTGGGAAACAGTCTGAGAGAGGTGCTGGGGCTCTGTGGATCTCTGTTTCCCCAGATCATATTCAGAGAAGTGGCTGGTTACTACATCAACCTGGACCCAGCAAGTTACACTGCCGTACAAGATTCATAAAGTCATTCAGTAGCTGACCTGCTCTGTTGACTTCAGCCCCTGCCCTGCCATTGGTCCCATCCTGGAGGCTCTCCTGGCTTTTCTTCATGCATACCCAGCTCCTCTACCTTCTGTACCAACTACAGGGCAACCCCTCCTACTTGGCTCTAGACTAGCCCATTTTCTGTTTATTCCTGCATTCCCTTAACTCCATGGCTTTGCGCTGTTTCTACTTGAGCTCTTTGTAGCCTCTTCTGTATCTTGCTCAAGCTATTCTTACATTTTTTTTCCTGTGCCTGTTGACTTTCTTCTTTCCTTCTTTCAGATAAAAGGATTCCTGAACTACTTGTCTCTCATTACTTTGGTCCTTGCCCCACTCGATGTCCTAGCTGAAAACATCCCTACAACAAATCACAACAGTCTCTGTTTTTTGCTCCTGCCAACAGTATAGTGTGCCTCCTGTTTAAATATTATTTCAGCATCACTGTTCTTTTATTCTTTTAATAGACCCAACATTATTTATTGGCATTCTAAGTGAGCTTTACTTACTCAGGAATTTCTAAACATTCCATGATGTCAAAGCATCTTAGGTAATTGGCATGGAAAAATTTCAGATGAGAAGCAAAAATTCTTTTTTAGTCCATTATGTATTTAAGTTTACTGTCTATGTTGACAGGCCCTTATCTTCTATCGTCTTATGATTCAATTTCATATTTTGTGCATTTATTTATGAAGGGCTTGATCCAGTCTACTGCAGGTACAACATTCATCTGTGTAGGAATCCTCACAGGAGAGCTCACTTTCCCCCTCCTTATACCTGAGGTGCACACACAGGTGCTGTGCCAGGCCATTACAGGGGAAGGAATGCCCATTTTGTGTGTGGTCTCTGATTTGGTGGTATTTTTGTTATATTTTTGTGGATTTTTTATCTTAAATTTTGCAAGCCACCCTGGGTAATGCACAGGGACCAGAAGGGTGGAACAGAAATTTCTCTCTAAAAATGACTGGATCCAGATTGCCATTCCACCTGGTTTATTTTCCTTGACTGAACCAATGAAGAAGACTGGTTTCTGTATGAAATGGATTTTGTATGAAATGTTATATGGGAGGCGCACACAGCTCCCCTTTTCTCTTCAGCTGTCTGGCCTGCTGAGTGCCTGCGTGCACGTGCAGGGGGTGGGTGTGCAGGAGTCGGCGCTCCGCCACACCCACACCGTCGCCAACCTGGTGGTCATGCTGGAAGGCACCAGATTGCGGTAGGGTGCTCCTTACTGGTGCTGTGCTTTGAATCCCCTTAAATTGCCAATGTTGAAAAGCAAACTGTAGCAGGGGAGGAGGAATATGGAATCTGTAATATAACAGTTAAAATACAACTGCTTTAAATAAAATACTGTGGCATGGAATAACAGGAAGTTCCAAACTGCTAAAATTAGTAAGGACTCATCCATACAAAATGAGCTTTCTTATTTAAAAAAATAAAATAAAATCTGACCATCAGTAGATCAGATTTGGATGTGATTAAAATGAAACACTCAGAGCTGCACTGCAGTAAGTTCAATATGTCTTAGAACATTTGTCTAAGATTATTTGTCTAAGTTTTTTACATTTCTGGGGTAGTTGTAATCTATAATATATTCAATCATGCATTAAAAAACAATAATAGGCCAGAATTAACTTATTTTCCCACTGGTGTAACTCTATCAGGGGACATATGGTATTTTATTTATTTATTTTAAAATGTTATCTGACTAAGCCTGCCAATTCTGCTTACATGGCTCTTGTAGTAGCTTAAAATATAAAAGTTATCATATTCAAAACACTAAAATAAAATATCAGTTACTTAAAAGCATAAAATTGTTAAATGGCATCTTAAAATACTGCAGAGAATGAGGGCCAAACTTGATCAGGCATGATCTGTGGTTGGATTTCCTGTCTCATGTGACTCAAACTGAACTCTGACCACTGAGCTGTAGGAAGGGAATGTGAACCCCTCCCTTCTGTACCACTTAGTCAATTAAAGAAGCTTTCTCCCCTTCAGCTGCTATTTGTCCTACGTTCAGGAAAATGGTTGGGTACTTTTTACCAAATTTGAAAGCAGTGTGATATTTTGTCATGGATCTCAAATGTCTAATCTAATTTGGACATCACCTTCATGTATAATATTAATGTTATCAGTATGCATGGTACTTTACACAATAAAAACCCCTCTGAAGGAACAAGTATTTACCAATACTACAAAGAATTTGTAGTATTTACAAATACAATCAAGATGGGGAAAGAACCAGACAGGCTGTCAGGTTTCCCTAATGAGGAAATTCTGTGATATGGAGGGCCAAAACCAACATTACAAAAGAGACATTTTTACTCTACAATAGGTGCAGGGGCCATAATCCAGATCAAAACCTTGGCACAGAAATGTGTAAGGGTGTTACCTTCCCCTCCTGTTATGTGTTCCATCTGGCCTGGAGGGCTGGTCCTGTGCCTGTAATTTCTCTTGTGAAATAGTGATTTGTTTAACTCCCCCATCATTCCACCACATCCAGATCATGGCTCCTGCAACTCCCATAAAGTAAAGACGAAAGCATGATGTATCTGCTAGATGCTAGGAATGTTGGGAAAAAATCTGCAATATATTGAAATGAGTTCAGATTTCTAGAAGTCCATCCTGTGGCGTGCACAGCAACAGCTTTTAAGAATCAATTTAAAAACATTTTAGGAAGATGCATACTAATTCACATTAGTGTTAAAGCAGTCTTGTGCAAATCTACATTCGCTCATAAATTAATGTGGATTAGCTAAAGTAGAATGAAATTATGATTTTAAAAAAACTCTGATTCTGTCAGTGAGACGAGGATGGAACAAAACATGCCTAACAATCTGTGAAACACAGACATGACAGATTTAACAAATCCATACACTCCTACTGGTTACAGATTGAAAGTAATGCTTGGTTTGGCCCTGTGGTATGTCACCTTCAGTTCTAGAAGAAAAGTTATCTTTATATCTTAAGTGTGAGCATAGGTATATTTTATTTCTTTTTCTCTGAGAGTTCATGTGAAGCCCCTTCCCTGTGGATTGTCTCCAGCATCTTTCATTCACAGGTACACCACCTCTGTATGCATGTAAATTGGTGGTGTTTGTGTATTAATGCAGTTGTCATTACTCGCAGCAATGGTGAGCTATCCTCCATGAACCTGACCTAGCTTTAAAAAACCAATTTATATAGTGGCCATGACCACACATTTTTTTTAGTAGCGAAGCAGCATAGAATGAGCTAAAAGAGTAATCATGACCATGGCTAGATAGTCTTGGGACACAGCAACAAAAATTGTGGATATGCATTCAGTTTGTGAACTTACTTTGGGCCTCACCACTGCAACAGTTGCCTTGATGTAGAAACTGAAAAAACAGTCACTACACTATCTATATTGTAATGATGGCGTGCTTGAATAATGGCAGAGTTTGCAGTTATTTTCATGGGCTCCACTCCAAAGAGGCTGATCCTTTCACAGATACTTCATGGAGATGTACATGAGCATAATGCACACTGGGCATGTGGCAAAGGAGGTAAGGGAGCATGTCCTCACATTCTGATCCTCAGTAGGGTACATGCATGAGATGACACATTCTAGGCTCACCCTTTTCCCTTGTCATATGCATTGCCCTCAACTTGCACAAGAAAAGTTTAGGACTACTAGTATTCCCGTTCTCAAAGCCAGTGCTGTAATATCTGACATGAATGATGAAACATGGGCTCATTTATACTACTTACAGAATATATGCAATAACACCAATAGACCAACAGTCCACTGCTTTGCTGTAGGGTTTCTGGGCAAGCACTTCAGGAGCTGTAATGAGGAAGCGGAGAGGAAAATCAGTAAATGAATCTAAATCCAATGAGTGTGGCCACAGTCTAAACAGAAAACTCATGAATTTGAAATTAACAGATTGTTCACCCATCTCCACCACCATACCATTTATTTGGCATTGGGACAGAATTTTGGATGTTAGGAATCTCTCAAAGATAGAAAGGTACCCAAAGACAAATCATGTGCACATCTGTGCTTAGAGGAATACTCTTTATGTAGAAAAATGGCAGAATTATCCCATGCATGGTTGAAGTTTTGCAATATCGTGCAAGTTCCCTCCTCCAGTGTTGCAGCACTGCATGAGCACTTGCAAAAATGGTTATTTTTGAGAGCAAGCAGGTGAAATATTAAATGAGACCATCCACTGATGTTTAGCTGATTGGTAAGTGCAAGTTTCTACAATTCACATCTGTTATTCTAGTGTAATTTATAGGGGGAGGGTTCCACATAGGTAAGGGGAAGATCTAAGGCAAAAGTTGGACAGCAGAACTTTGCTTTTCAACCCATATATCCACATACTACCAGCATCTACTCCACTTATGCACAGAAACACTACCTTCACATGCATGGATCCATTCATATACACACAAGTCCCTTTACATTGAGTTGGGCTAACTCTCTAATGAACAGCCTTATGCTAAGCAAAACCATTGGTCCATATAATTCAATACTGCCAACCCTGACTGGCACCTGGCTCTTTACTTTCTGCTTCAGGCCGCAGCTTTTCTTATATGTGAGGAAATGAGGCTGAGACATTTTCCTTTTAAAGGGTAAAGAGAGCAGCCCTTTCCCTAATTCATACTTTCAGTGAGGACATCAGGAGAAGGAAGGCAGACACAATAGAAGGGGAAGGATAGCACATTTGGGAAAAAGTAAAATGGACTGGACAGTTACAAATATGGTTGGTGACAATTCTGCTAACAGCAGTGGAAGCTTTCTCCAGATGCTGTGAAACTAGGAATTCAGCTAGATCCTATCCATGAACACTATATTTGAATAAAGTGAATAATGATTATTATTCACTTTATGTGAATAATGATTATGGTCACAGTTTACAGAACAAAACACTGTGCACTGTCTGCTCAGTCCAAAACCTTCGGGAAAGAATCTTTATATTCCATCTTTATGTGACTGTTGCAAGGCCTATAATAAAATTTATACTTGGATGAAAATGAGAGACATCTCTTGCTTAAAGGAGAAGCAACATTGTCAGTAAAATGTGGTGGTCAACTTCCACCCCCTTTATCCCAAACATTTCTGAGCAGATAACAGATGGATGAGGGGAGGGCAGTGATCCACCTGCTAACGGATATGAGCAACCCGAATGCCACCTTCCTGGCATAAGCCCCCACATTCACAATGTGAAATGTTAAGATTTCAAAGAGCTCTTATTTTTAAACTGTGAATCACATTCACAATCAGTATATGTCAGATCAGAGGACTTCACATAAAAACAACGTAAAGTGGGGGAGGGACTGGTAGAAGGTCATCAATTTTCTGCCAAGAAATAGAAAACAAAAGCAGAATTCAAAACTTTTGGAAACTTGAAAAAGAAGCATTTTAAAAACAGCTCTAATTTCTAGGCTCACTAGGAAATCTTGACAGCTCTGCAGTGTGCTGCCAAATTGAAGTTTTTGAGATGTGAAGGCAATCTAGGGTGGTGTGTCACTGTGATTGTTCACCTCTGTTGCAAAGTGATCCAAGCAAGATGGCTGTCCCTGCCCTGCTAGCCAACTGGCCAAGGAAGTGTGATAAAGGAAGGATGTCAGAGACAGGGGTACAGCTGCTTGCCATTCTGACTGAAGGATACCACAGTAAAAGATCAAGAAGAAGCCACGCTAATCCAAAAGTTCCCTAAGAATGAGATATATGAAAAATCCGTGGTTTATAGCCAGTGTTATTTCTTCTTAGAGAAGATCCACTGAAATAAATAGAACGTAGGTCAGACAAACATTGAACACAGCTCTGTCCTTTTGTTGTTGCAGACAGCTTTGTTTTTCTGCATTCTCTTCACTCTGCTGAGCTGCAAAGTCAATATTGCCATTGTTATTTCAGATAGTGCTCGGTGCCTTTGGAGGGTCTGGGATCCAATTTCTAACTCCCAGAATTCACCAGAGCCTGCACACATCCTTACTGCCATAGCTGAAATCACAGCCACTGAATTGCTGCTGAATTTTGGTGGCAATTTTATGGCAAGAAAAAAAGCCATCTTTTTGCTTTAAAACAAGGCACATGGGAAGCATCATTGTATGAAAGTCTAGAGAATTGTGTTGCTTATGTTTGCATCTTTCATCTGCAAATGCTTAGCACTGGATTTTAAAACCCCATGACTCCAATCCTTTTTAATGCAAAGTAGCTATTGAATTTTCAAAGCCAAATGTTGGCTTATAGTTGAATTATTTATAATAGTTGCCTTGTCAGCAATTATAGGTTTAAGTGCTACTAAAAATGTAACAGATTTTCCTGCTAGTAACTGTAGTATTAGCCACAGCTACCTGAAGAACAAGATAACAGTGCCCCCTTATCACCTGTCCTTAGAGCCTTATATTGGATAAAGCAATTGTGTCAGATAAACTTTGGGGTTTATAGGTTTGGGAGTGGCATTCCGTCAGCTCAACCATTCTCACAGCCTTTCAGTAAGCAGCTGGTACTCAGGACTTGGAGTAAAGACAGGATTTTATTAACTGTAAGTTGTCTTAGGGGCCCTTCTGGAGTCAAATGAAAGGGAACAATACAAACAAAATGTTTCTGAATGTACTGGGACCCCAGATTTGGCCTATAGGCCTGAAGTTTCTTTCCTCTGCTCAAAGCCATGGCTGGGAAGATTGGGAAAAGTGAGAAGCTCAAACACTTCCTCTTCTCTTCTGCAGGTAGCTTAATAGATCAAGGTCTGGTTTAGAAGTAAAGTCTGCCACCACATCAGAATTGGCAAACAAAGTATGGAAAGCAATCCCTGCAACCAAAGATCAATGTGTAGTTTCCAACCCTAGTTTGGAGGGCTTGCCAGAGTTTGTTGACTTGTACATAGCAGCAAAATACACTTGGATGGAAGTGTTTTATTCAGTCACATCTAAGAGGCAGTTAGGGAAAGGGTAGTGAGGGTGGGGAACATTCAAGTCCACTGCTTCTTTCCAAGTCTCCAAGCCACAGTCTGGAGGATTAGGAAGATGATGATTGAATGCAGCCATTATGCTCATCAGTTTGTAGCAGGTAGCTCTGCTGGTTTTGCTAGGACTGGTTTCACTGTTGCACCCTACTGAAGGCAGGGAATTTAAGCACTGTAACATGATAGGAATCAAAGTAATCTACATGATGGGATTAGTGGCAGAAAACTGCAGGAAGGAATAAAGTTAGGATAATTTAAAAGCCCAGAACTAAAGAAACTCAAATACACAAGCCAATTGTGGTACTTCTTTAACAAACATGGTAGCCTTAACTATGGGCAAAAGAACAATCTAATAAAAGGAACAGAAATTCACATGGCCATTGCTTATTATTGGATCAGGGTAGAAAAGAACGAATAGATTTGGAACTTAGCTGGATTTTGGAACTCAGAAATGTGGTGAAATTGCCTGTCAGAATAAAAGACCAAATACCCTGGAACATTTTTTAAAGTAAAGGCTTAACAATATCCTTCTGAAATAATAATAAAATATTGCATTCCAATATACTTCAAGGGGAGCTGGATCATATCCTAGAACAAGATGACTAAGCATCAAAATTTATGAATGCTAACAGTAAATGTAAAAAAATGTTAATACATGCATAAAATAGGAAATTTGGATGTGGCAAAATAAATAGAAAATAGGATTTAATCATAGTTTTTGATATTACGTTTTAGTATTTATATTAAAATAAAAAGTGATGATTGGACATAACCTTACTTGAGAGTTTATTGTGATTTGGTCAATTCCATCAATAATCATTCCTAATATACTTATTTTGCAAAAATATAAAATTGGCAACCTCTGAATGAAACATGTCTTTGTAGCATAATGCAGCATTCTCTGTAATGTGAATCAGTCACTGGAATGGTCCTTAAGTATTTAGAAATTTCATTTTGAAATGACACTGGGATTCACATGTCAGATTTCAATTCGTGTCTATGCACTGTTTTGAATAAGCAGATCCTTGCTTGTACAAATGATAGAACTCCAAATTCACTCAGTGGTAGCAGTGACAAAATGGCTTCCACAGGCCTAAATTCTATTGCTGAAATGAATAATCTTTTGTGCAAAAGGATTGTGAGCTTTAATATGTTCTGGTACACAAAAACAAACACCCAGGAACAGAAGTATTTGATTATAAATGGATGTCTTTTGCATCAGGCTCTACTTGATGGTCCAGTAAAAAAAACAAAGTGGATCCCACAAGCCTGAAATCTGCCCAGCTGGTCTGGATTCAGAACAATACTGGTGGAGCCAAAACAGGGTAACTGCAAAGGAAAATCAATTTCAGCTTACAAGAGACCTGGGGCTAGGGTGGAGGTTCACCTTCCTGAAGGAGAATGACCCTAAACACATACCTACAGTCCCTAAAGAAGAAGCAGAATGGCTTAAAAACAAGAACCTGAAGGGTCTAGTGAAAGCTCAGCTCTCAGTCTGAGAAAATCTGTGGCAACACTTCAAAGTTGCTGTTTGCCAATGGTCTCCATGCAACCTGACAGAACTGGAGCAGTTTTGCCAGGAAGAATGGGTAAAAACTGCAGGATCTGGATATGCAATTATAGCTGCGATTGCTGCCAAACTGATTGCTGTCAGTTTGTTTTTGTTTACTTAACTTCTGTGCCACAATAACCATGTTATTAAGAGTAACTTCTGGGGGCCTCGACATTGTTGAGTATCTTGTGTATATCAAGGTAACCGTGCCAATTAAATGCATTTCAATTCCAGGCTGAAACACAACAAAATGTGGAAAAGTCAAAATGGGGGTGAATGTAAGTCAACACAAGACAGTTTATGATTTTTATTGAAACGCAA